CCCCAAAACCCCAAAACCCCAAAACCCCTTGAATCTGAATTCAAGTATCTTTAAAGAAATCAATGAAAGAAATTAAATGTTTTGGTATTAACTAAAAAGAATTCTCAATCATCTCTGTGTCTTTCAAACTCAAGTTTGTCACTGAATCCATCTTCTAAATTTTTCATATCCTCCTTTGAGATTACTTTCTTGCAAAGTGGGCATGTATTATTCTGCTTAATCCAATCAGTGATACAATGGGGATGGAAGTAGTGTCTAATGTCACAAGGTAGTGGAGTCACATCACAGTCATCTTCAAAATCCTCAAGGCAAATAGCGCACTCCTTATTTTTGAAGGCTGTATGGTCAAACTTTGTTATAAACAAGTTTTTGATGATATCTGTTTTAATTATTTATTGCTGTTATTGTTGCCCTCTAGCTGCACAGATTCCTAAACAAATAACTGGCAAGCACAAAATGAGTATAGCGGTTAGAATAGTGATGCCTAACCATGTTTTTAAGCCGAGTGCAATAATAATCATTGCATCAAGGAAGAAAACATTGGAAGAATTGTCCCAGCAGTTGCTATCAAACATAAAAATTAATCCATACCAAACGAAACAAGTCACAGTGATAAGTTAAATTAAAGTTAACAGTAAGTATGCGATTAAGAATCTGCTCTAATTTTTGTGGAAAGCAATATGAGTAAACATTCTAAAAGCCACTGAAATTGTTAGGTAGTAGACAGTATAATTGTAAACAAATTATCGAGGATTTAGATTGCAATCTTTTAGTTCATCTTTCTTTATCATTAATGCAATGCCGAATGCAATCATTAAAATAGCCTCAAATATTAAGACCTCTTGGCTACTATTTTTAAGTTGTTTGAATTTCTCTAATTAGCCCATATCATCGGCATTTCTTCTCCTGAGAGAAGTTCTTTGTCGTCTGAGTTGAGGAAAATTTGCATTCTAAGTATTGAGTAGTGGTTCGCTATTGACAGTTGAATCCATATCTTTTAGTTAGTATTCTAAAATAATTATTCACTATAATGATAAATAATAAAAATAGATAGTCAAGTTTGATCAAATTCATTAAATTTGATGAATTCTGTTCAAGTGGGGTTTTGGGGTTTTGGGGTTTTGGGG